TTAAGTACAGTAACGAAGTATTTGTACTTTGAGCCCTTAATGTTGTGGCGCCCGAAGCAGAATGACACCCAGGGTGGTGTGCCACATTGCCAATATCACCTACTACTATTTAATGTATTTACTGAGTTAAAAGCAGAACCTCCAATCTCCGATGTCATTGACCCATGCCTGACTGTAAAGTTATTTTTCACGCCTCCAAATCGTGTCATTGTCTTTTGCTTCTGGGCTGCATGAGGACTTTCCTGAAGCCTGGGAAAACCACCGGGCTTCCAGATAGGAGGTGATCTGTGGACGGACGTGCTTTGGGAAACTAATTAGTTCGTGACGTGAGCCAATTGCAGCAAAAACCCAAGTATTCGTGAAGGAGATTGCAGCCCGGACGCCCTGAGTGAGGCAGATTTGGGGAAGGAAGGAGGGAGAAGGTTGGGGAAGGAGGAGGGGAAATATTTTGAAGCAAAGGAGTCGGGTGGTTACGAGGGGACAGAGAGCTGGGGACCGACTGTGGGGTCCCATCGAGAGGTCTGGAGTCTGCACCGAACCAGCTTCAGGGATGTAGTCGAACCGGCGTGGAGCTCAGCCCATCCGAGCTCATTATCATGAAGAAGCACTCAGCCAGGGTTGCACCGCTGTCCGCCTGCAACAGTCCGGTGCTGACGCTCACCAAAGTGGAAGGTAGGACCTGATCCCCGCGCTCAGCGCGTCCAAACAGCCGGACAGCTGTATCATTAAAACAGGAATGTATTCAACATAATAGAGGTTATCATTAAACATAAAAAATTAGACTGCGACCACAATATAAGTGCAAGGAATTAACTTTAAATTGTGATTCCCCTTAGATTATCTGATTAATTAAGGATGGTTCCCATTGAGTGTTTTTATCTCTATTAACTCTTGTATTATTATTATTATAGCATGTATTTAATAGTCCTAATGGATGACATTTTTTTTTCTCTGTGTTAAAAACCCTGCAGGTCTGCAGGGAGCATGTTAAGTTATTTCTTTACAGCAGGGATTCCCTCTCATTCTCCCTACCCTTCATCCATCACTGACTGCAAATGAGAAATATACAGAAACATATCACACAGCACAGCAGCTGGGCTGTGAGCTCAAATATTAGGGCTCTGCATAGATGTTATGCCCTTTTTGCTGAGATTAACCCAAGAGAGGTTTGATCTAACAGCGTTTTTGGTCTATGAGCTGCTCAGACCAGCATGGCATACCCTACTTCAGTTTTGCATCCTCTGATTTTCTCTCCTGACCCATGCTTGTGCAATGATGCAGTCTTTGGAAAAATGCTTTAGACAGGAAACAAAATAATGAAAGAAAAAAAGTTCACTGGCTGCTGATTTGACTTTTCCAGAAGTGTTCTGGATCATGTTTAATCAATGGCGTAAGCAGAGACTGCAGTTGCTTGGGGCCCCTGACCTCTTAGGGGCCCCATCACTGACTCCTAGTTATGCAAATGTGGACTAGGACGTCTCTTTGCAGATGTAACGGTGCGAAAAATTCCTATTTTACCCACCTGATGCTAGTATGTCTGACCGGACCGTATATACCTCAACACATTGCAGATTTCAACAGGATGGTGAGCTGTTTAAACACGACACCAATGGCAAAGCAGACAGTGGTACTTTTAATTACTATGTTGATAACTGTATATAGTTCATTAGATGGTTGGTAAAAAATACACTCATATAATATGTTTCAAACCGCAATAAAGATCTTAAAAGAACGATGTATTTGAGTAATTTATTTTTTATAGTATGAACTTAAATTATGGGTAATCCAGAGCATAGATTAAAACTATAACCGTTACGTACAATGTGTTAATGACGATGGGTAGAAATGGATAGAAAATAGATAGAAAGGAAATTAAATAAGAAGAAAAATATAGACAGTTAGAAAATGGTTTGTATTTTAAAACATTAGATGCAGGTGCTTTAGGAATGATCTTTGATCTTTATTGAAGGCATCCTGAATGGTCAACAGTTAATATTTCAGATTATGTACTATATTTTTCTCAATAAAAAAAAATAAATAAATCATGCATCATTCTTCATGTAAGACCATGGCTACAAAGGAAACAAAGTACGTAACCACCCTTTTAAAATCTGTTCAACCTGTTTGTGTGATAATCCTACCTCATCGAAGGGGAGGTAGAAGTGAGGAAGTGATCGATGCGCTGCAAAATGGACTCAACCACAGAGTTTTCAGAACATATTCAGTATCATTTAGTAAACGTCAAATGACCTAAGCTCCCTCAAGAAGTAAAGTCTTCTCTGTCGCTTATTATAAACTGTTTTGTTATTAGTTTTTCTGTTCAATCTGTTATCCTCCTATCACCTCCACCTCCTCTTGCCAAGGTAAAAATAGGGTTTTGCTTATTCATACTACTTATAAACAGTCCATAGCTGATGATCTACCACAACTGCAGTGTCAGCTTAGGATTTGCTTAAATGAGAGGTTTTAGATTTGTTTGGGATGAGTTCACAGTTAGATTCCCGTGGCGTGCCGATGGTTTAATCATCAGAAAATTGTCTTTTTTTTTAGGCATGAATGAATAATATTTGTAATGATAACTATTTAAAGATAAACTGTTTCCAGTGCCTTGCAAAGATACCCATAGTCCTGAATTTGTCACATATTGACCATGAACCTTGTATGTGCTGAAGTCAGATGGGCAATTGCAATGTAATTTTGAATCTGTTTAACTGCAAAAGTACATACATCCAGGCAGTAAGAGGTTAAGGTTTACTATTAATCATGAAGGTGACAGAGCAGAAAAAAGAAGATGACTCCAGTCAGATATTAACAAAATCAATTCTATTACTTACATGAATAGTTTGTGATCAAAAAATAACTACCTAACATCCTTCACTGTGAAACATGGTGGTGGCAGCAGTATCATGTGGTGGGAATCCTTTTCTTCAGCAGGGAAAGGGAAGCTGGGTGTATAGAGTTTTACTATTACATGTAACCTTTTCACTTCTCAGCCTCTAGTGCAGTTATTGTTTTTTCTTCGCCGATTAATACACATCAGCACTCAGCTTTCTGTCTGCGTTAACGCTACTTGAGAAATGCAGTGCTGGGGTCCATAGATGCGGAAATGTCTGACTCCTGTATTCATAATGAATGACCAGCCAAAAGAAGTTTTGGAAGCTCGTTAGATAAAATTAACCAAAAGACACCTGATGAGTTTAGACTTGTGCCTACTAATAGACAGAAAATATCCTTTAGAATAATCACTGCAGCTAGATTTTATGATGGTTATTTTGAAACTCAGTCTGGTGTCAGAATAACTGGGATGTTAGGCTGATGTTGGATAAGCTCCTTCCAACAGTTTCCAAAGAGTTTAGATGTGAACAAAAGCATAGGAGAAATAAACCTTTGGAAGCTTTTATTCAGGGGTGATACTGTATTGTAAACTGGTGAGAAGAGATGTGAACATTCAGCTGCTGCTTTGAAGGAGACAGGAATCACAGGGGGCCATAGCATATCAACATGCAGCCTGTCAGAGTCTCTGTTGCTTATGTAACACCAACCTTAAAAAACAAAAACTCCTTTCTCCTCACTAACAACCTAGAGCCTGCTGACAAGAAGTCCTCTTTTTGTAGTTGGAGGTCTGCAAATAACTTTTTGGTATTTGCCTCTTTTTCTGTGTCTAGTTAACATCCTTACAGATTTATATGTATGAATGTGGCATTGGATTTACAGACACGAAACCAGAGGCAGGGCTCTAATTGGCTGCTTTCAAAATTCATACATCCATACTGTCAGTAATCCTCATCAGCTCCAGGAAAGCAGTAACACCATATATTTTCACCAGAGTTTGAAACAGACGCAAATCAATGTCGACACCACCTCTGGTGGAAAATCATCTTGAAGACAGCAACAAAACAGTCTGGAGAGATCCGTTCTGGGTATATAGTGACATTTCCCCTCACCCTGGGTTTGATTCAGTGACATTGTCTGAAATAGTTACTGCTTGCTCTGTGCAGTCTTTGACAAATTCAATGGCTGGAAGGCTGGGGAGGGTGATTATTGATTTCTTTTTAAATGAAAGAGTGTCCTTGGGGAGTGTCTCTGTTGTTCTTTGGTTGCTAGAGTAGAAGCAGGGGTAAGAAGTTCATATCAGTCCCTTTAATCTCCATAACTTCATTATACAGGCTTTGATAGAGAGCAGGCATCTTGTAAAGGTGATTCAGCGTTCATGAGTCCCAGGGGATGGTGGCCATATTTTACCAGCTGCTATTCTGTCTCCAGGGCACTCTTGTTTTTAGCAAGAGTTACTGTGTATAGTCACATTGCAAATTTGAGAAAATCGTAGGGACTATTATTTCACAGCAGCAAGGTCACCTGTTTTTTTTAATTAGCCTGATTTATTGGATTGAGAGAATCCCTTCAGCTTCAATAACTGCTTAGTTTGTTATTTTCTCAAGTGCTTTAAATGTTTTTAACCTAATCGTGCTCCTTTAAATAGTCTCTTATTTTACAGAAAAGGTTGTGAAAGAGTAGTTATACACTTCTCAATGTTCTTGCTTTTTTTTCTTTTAATTTACATCTAAACGTTCCTCCTAACAAACAAATTTCAATGTCAGACAAATAGATTTGAAAAATGCAAAATTGATTAATGCAAAATGCAGTTTCTAAAGAATGTATTAAGGTAAAATTTGTTGTTTTACTCCCTCTTAAATCACAAATTAATTGCTATTTAGCAACTTTTTTTGGTTAACTGGGTTTAGTTTCATTGCCACAACCAGGCGTGATTCATACAGCCCTTTAGAGTAAAAAAGTCACTTAAATAGAACTTGTTTGAAAACATGAAGTAGGCCAAACAGCAGCTAAGTAATGCACATCCTGTCATGACCTTAAAAAGAATCTTATCAATTAAATCATTGACCTCTATTTATATGGAAACAAATCAACTTTTAATTTTTTGAAACTCCAACGAAAGCAAAATGAAAACAGATTGAAAGAACCTGGAACAATGTTGAACCATCCCAGAATTGTCTGGCTTGCTTAAATTACTCCAAGAAAGCCATACCATGCTGTCAATGAGATCAACCAAAAACTCAAGAAATGCAGACCACACTTATGCTGGTTAAGAACAGTGTTCATTATTTAACTGTAAAAAAAAAGAGACTGGACAAAAATTGTATCTATGGTAGAGTTTTACTTAATCCACTGCTGGAAAATAAGAATATTTGCCTGTTTAAAGTTGTTGAAATAGTGTAATGATTATCACTACAAAGTCTTGTATACAGTCCCTGCTCTATATACGTAGAAGGCACTCCTATCACAGAGTGAATTTGGCTTTTCCCAAAACAAATGAAAAACAACAATAGATTTGAAAACGTTCTTTCGTTTTTTTTTTTTCTAGTTGTATTAGGCAGATCATAGCTTAAATGTATACTGGAGGATTTTTGAGAATTTCTGAAAAGACCCGCCCTCTCCTGCAAAAATGCACATGCACAACGCTGTACCCGCTCCTGAGAGGCAACGCCTATTAAACACGTGCAAGAGCATGGATGAGCCCATTTCTTCTCTTGCACGCTCTGTTTAAAAGTTTCTGTTTACATCGCTCATACAAGTATGCTTTTCAAAGAAGATTTGCAGTTTTTCGACTATGTTAGACTCACCACTGAGTGAAAATGGGGATGAACATGTAGGAC